AGCGGGCCCGGGCAAGGCGGGGGCGGGCGGAGGCGGCTCTAGGCGGCTGGGACAGCTCGGGGCCTCGCTTCCGGCTTGAGACGCGCTAGCGGGAGCCTCGGGGCTGGGGCTGTCCCGAGGATGGGAGCGGGCTGCGCTCCCGGCCGCATTTCTGAAGACAAACCCGCCTGCTCCCTCACAGGCCGCTCGTTTCATGCCCGCGCTTAGGGCAGCGACCTAGGCGAAGGGATAGGGGCCCAACGCCTGCCCCCAGCAGGGACTTGCGCTTTACACAAGAGGCTGAAAGGCCCGGCCCGAAACAGCCCATGCCCACTGCTGAGCCTCTGTGCGAGACGGTGCTAGGGAGTCACAAAATGAAACTAGGAGGTAGGAAGTTTCAGAAGAGGAAGTTTTGTACCTCAGCCTCTCCTCAGGTGGGGGAAGCTGACACTTAAACTAGATTCAAAAGTGGACCAGTGGACCAATTTTTGGAGGAAAGGCACATCAATACCTATTGAGCATGGGAGTTAGGGGCACCGCCTCTGAATCTTAACTCCCAAGACTAAGGATAGGGATAGGCATAGGCAACCCACAGCAGGGGTGCCAGTGTGCTATGGGAAGGTATTTTGCTTGGCATGCATGCCTCCGGGTGGACAATGGGAAGGGGGTCAGGTATACGCTACCACAAAGATGGGATGCTTCACAGCTCCCCCGTCATCCACCCCATCACACCACCATCTTACAAGTCAAGATTGCAGGAGGTTTTGGCACTCTGACCAAAAATGTTGCCTACCCCTGTCCTAGACAATAAATCAGCTGAAGCACAAGCGTTGATGGGGGAGCACAACTGCACCCTACCGCCACTACCCTCACTGCTACTGGTTCTAGCCAGGCTCTAGTCCTGCAACCCAACTCCCTGCCTAGACCAGGACCAAACTCACATACAAACCTGTGCACATAACCACCTTAGATTTAAAATAAATTAAAAAAAAAAAAAAAAAAAAATCAAAGCCTTGAGGGAGGACCCTGTGCCCTGAAAGAACAGGCTATAGGCAGTCACAAACATCCCCCTTTCAGCCTCGAGGCTCCTGCTGGCACGTCTCAAGCCAGAGATACAAGGCAAGCTTCAACGGCTGCGGAATTCTTCGTTACTCGCGCCTCAATGTTCTTGTCTGACCCAAAATTGAAAGAGAGAAAAAAAAATGTGGCTACACCAAGTTCCTGTTCCTCATGGACAGTCCGAATCCTCTGATTAAAGCACAGGCCGAAATCTAGGGATCAGTGTAGCATGCCAAGCCCTACAGCTCTCAGCCCCTGGCACTAGTTCAAGTTGTCATGTGTTATGGTTAAAAAAAAAATTTCCTCATGCCCACTAGGATCCCACTTCTCAGGAGAAGGTTTGAGTTGACACCCAGGATTAAATTTTCAACTTTTATGCCACATGTTTGGCATGAAAACCCCTAAGCCAGAGGACAAGACACATATCTGGACCTCCCCAACTCCATGCCTAGACCAGCACCCCACTCGCATACATCCCTATATTCGCCCTCCCAATAACAACAGCAGCAGCAAAATTCACAACCTTGAGGGTGGGCTCTGTCCCACTAGAAGAGACCACAGGCAGCCACAAACATCCCCCTTTTCCCTGCCAGCGTGATGCTCAAAACCAGAGATATAATATAAGCCTGCAGGGCTGCTGCCTTCTTCAATGCTGGTGCCTCAACCATCTCAGCTGCCCCAAAATTAAGAGGAAAAAAACCAAATAAAACAAAAAACATTTTGGCACATGCCAAATGGATACACGCTGTGAGTGCATAAGTCATGCCACTACCACCCCTGCTGCTCCCAGGCCATGCTCTGGTTAAGCTGCAGCCCTGTAGCCCACCTTTAGCACAGAACTGTGCAAAGGTACATCCCCACTGCCTATGCCTTAAATGGTGCACACTGCAAGTGAGAGAGGAACAGTGGGAAAACTTTAGTGGTGCCCAGTTCACTCTGCCTTTCACCCTCCACACACGGCCAGTGTGCAACACAGGAGCCTGGGCAAGATGGACCTACAGTCTGACAAAGTAAATGGCAGCTCTTAACCAGTTTTAACCAGAGATTCCATGCTTCTGACTTGATGCATAGTTTCTCTTAGGTAACGATGTCCAATACCTTTTATTGGACCAACACTTGTCAAAAAAATCTCTCAGACTGGGATAGCATATGTTGCAACAGGTTGATGATCATGTTTTGAGTGCTGCTGGTTTGATTCCCTTTGCTGCTGGTGCACTGTGAGGTGGCTCTTATTGCAATAGCTGATTCCACTTTTTCTTCTTATGTTACACAGCTGTCCTTGGGTATTTCTGGTAGTAGGTTTGAACTTGCTGCATTAAGGAGGTCAGGTACGTCTCCAGGTTAGTGTTTCTTCATTTTGTAGCATAAAGGAGTATATTTTATTTCAACTGATCCCTTTTGGAGTATGTTTGATGAAGATGGTTTTCTAGTTTCTTCAACCATCTCCCGCAGAGTTGTGTTGCCCATATGGAGCTGCGCATGTTAGCTAGAGTATTGCAGATGAAGAGTCCCCTTAGGTATATATTATGGTAGGTCCTCGTTACACCTTACACTGTGATTCGCACAAATGTTGATGGCTGTTAGTGCTAGCTCAAGTTTGGAATGTGTCACACGTCCAGGCCACCAGAGGCCTGGAGGGCTGAAATATAAGAATCCCAGCCCCTACCTGTTCCCCTGAGACAGACACTGCAAGCAGCCACAAGTGGGGGCAGGGGAAATCTGGAATGCTGGGGAGTGTGCGTTTACACCAACGCGTAGCCTGCAATGGTTGCACCTTACTGTAACACAAGCTGCATAACACAGAACAAAGATAATACTGTCCTGGAACGAAATAATTTTGAGCTGCATCACTAATACTTAAAACTAGTTTCAGGTGTTAATGTGCAGATAATCCGGGGGTTAAGAGCTCCGGGAGCCACCCAAAATTACCCGGCCCTTACTTTCCCATAGGACACAGTCCTTACTTTCCCGTGGGGCACAACTGGCACCTCTCCCAGGCCATGAGCCAAATGAACACAGAGGAGTCGTAAAACAGGCTGGAGGCAGTATCTAACAGCTGTTCCATTAGACGGTGCATTCTCACACAAGAAAGTGACCAACTGCAGGATATATAAACTTCTGTGACCATATTCTTCAATGTCAGCTAAGGTAAAATTGCTTTGCAGACTGGATTTGACCCCTGGGTCACAGGTCACCAATCCTTGCTGTAGGTTTCAGTTTTGACAAATCGTTTTTTGCTAGACAAAAAGCCATTTTGCTGGAAAACAGATCACCTCTCTCTGTAATGCCAGACAGAAATCTGTCATTTCTAGACTTGTTACAAAAAGTGGCCCTTTTTAATGAACTCAAGTAAAAATAAATCTTTTCAACTGTGCACTTACCTTTCTGTGTTGTAGTTTAGTCCATCTAGAACAGTGGTTCTCAACCTTTTTAGACACAATATGTAGAGCCCAGATTTCTATTCATTCTGATGTTCTGTTCAAGCATGCACAGTTGAAACAAGGCTTGGAAAAGCCTGGAAAGAGTAAACTTTCGACCTCCTGGCCTATTTGTCATTAGTGAGCATGTGTTTGATTACCTGAGGGGTCACAGTTAAGGGGATCAAATACATGTACTTAGTACATACCATCAAGGAATATCCTACCTTAACAAGGACACAGAAATGTGATTTATGTAAAGTCTATGCATGGATGTGAATTTAAATAGTGGAAATCTACAGGTTACAAAAATTAACCCAATATATGCCATCAATAAAATAGTATGACTTATAAATGAAGCTTAACAACATAGCATAATAAAGTTTGTGAAGTTTTAGGTCTGATCTGTGAAAGCAGCATGTAGTAGTGAGATTTTAAAACCAAAAGTTTAAGTAGTGAAGGACCGTATGCAACCCACACAGCATTCTACTCCGGTGAATAAAAAAAAAAAATCCCCATTCAAAATAAGACCCCCAAAGCAATTTACCTTTGCCAGATAAACACACATACCCTTCCCAAAGAGAAGCACTTTTCTAAAAACTGTGTAGAATTATTTTTAACGGAATGGAAAGTTTCCAATTAAATAAAGTTAATGGATAGAATACACAGACTAACTTGCAGTTCTGAATTTCCACATGAGTTTGCCTTTATGTCATGTGTACAGCACGGTGCAAGCACATCCTAGATGCCCATACCTATCCACCCACATCTGCTTCCACACCCAAAAATATGCCAGGAAAGATGCTTCAGGGTCATCTCCAGGAGCTGCTCTCAAGCATGCTGGAAACTGGTAGCTTAAGAACAGCTGCTGGGGGTGACACTGGAATGTCTTTGGGGCAAAGTCCTGGGTTTGGAGCATCTGAGCAGGAGTTAACAAACAATGATAAAGTAAAGTAATGTTAATCCAAGATTAGGGATGCATAAAAATAAGACCAACAGGTTAATTTCCAGTAAATCTGCTATTTATTTTACATTGTTTTAAAAAGTCACACGCATAGTAATAAGATACCCATTGTATCCTGCTAAAAAAAATAGCATTTTATTAACAGAAAGGAGCAAGGTAAATTGATGAATAATCCTAAAGGCTTTTCTTTTACGAATATGTAAACAAGTTGACAGCAAGTTAATCGTACAATAGAAAAATTGTAGAATTATATTGTATGATTCTTAAAGCTACTATGTTCAGTCTCAACGTAGACTAAATCTGGGGAACTGCAGCACTGCAAAGTCCTTGAAAGTGTTATGAATATTACCTTCACGAACATGCATCTTTTGTAGAAAAATACTTTAAGAATACCGACCCCTCAACTGATAAAAACAAACTATAAAATGCATCTCTTGTCACAACATTACTACTGTTGAATATATCTAGTATTAAATTTACCACTCAATATACCTAATTTTTAAGCTTCTCAGTGATGCTCATCAATTTAAATTCGTTACTTTTGTGGTGTGTTTAGGATAATATTTAATCACTTCAGAGGTAGGGAAAAAAGTGACCATTTTGTTAGCAGTGTTAGTTACTTTGCTCTTAAATTCTGAACTACATTTATTTGCAAAGATAAATCTTTACCTCTTCATCAGCATAGCTAAAGAGTTAAACACATTCTTGTTTAAAAGTAGAAGCGGATAGTTTTACGTACACTTAAGATGAAATTTTGTTTAACAACAGAGTTAAAACAGTTCACAAAATCCATCATTGTTTCTGACTAAATGTTTCGAACCTTTTCATAAACTTCAATCTTTAAGTAGCTGAAACTATAAATAGTGCCAGGCAGTAGAAAAGGGCCAGAGTTCTCTGAAAATGCCTTCTTGCATTTATTTGAGCTATTTTGCTTACATATTTTAATTTCCGAAACATACCAAATGAAGTACAATGATCTTAGGAGTCAACATCTACCTTTATTTAATGTTTTCTTGGATATCTGCTGGCTAGAACTATGTAAATTATTTGTTCGGTGTTGCTAGCCCAAATAATGAAAATTCCCTGGACACTGTGATTAAAAACACAATGTTTCATATAAGAGGTCAATCAAATGTCAAGCATGGCAAGGAAACAGGTAATAAATAGGATAAGTGGTAGATATGACACAACTAACCCAAAGACATGATTCAAGGTATGGGATGAATTAGTAAAGAACATATCAGGTTGTTGGAAAGACTCGAAAGGAAGATGCTGGAATGAAACTGACCAAGATCACACACAAAATTATTTCCTACTGAACCGTAAAATAGCCATTCCTCAGCGGTGCTGTGCTCATTGGGAGTGCAATGTGGTATTCAAGTGGTAAAAAACAAAAAAGTAAATATGCAGGGGCAAGACGAGTGAGGAGCAAGACACAGACAGCGAGAGACAATGACAGATACAAGTTAATAAATCTTCTTCCACCAGGTTTGCATCTGCAAAGGAAAACGTTATGTTTGGCTGCCAATGTATACAACAGAGCCACTAGGCTACCTGGTTACTTTTAAATAGAAGGCATACAGCTAAAACCCTTGCACTGCTTTGAAAAGTCTCAGCCCTTAATCTAAACATTTGTAGAAAAACTTGCATCATAGAAGAAATGCTATCAATATGGCCTCTGGAGTTACTGAGCTGGTAAGTCAGAGTAGTTGCAGACTGACCAGGAGTCTGCAACTACATATTGTCAGAACCCATTAATTAGATGCCTATATCACAGAGGAGAATTGGTATAGCCCAGAGGAGAAATGACATAGCACAGAAGAAAATTCCATGGGTTCGATACATATGGCATAGTTTTGCTGTCAATCATTCTGGTGGCAGTAACTAGGTCATGGAGGAAAATTCCGCTATGCCTGAACCCAGTAACCAAATGCTACAGTAGTGGAAAATTACAGTTTAGAAAAAAGTTCCTGCCACTCATATGCAAATTCACATTATTATTGGCCAGTTTTAAATTATTCCTACGTGGCGACCAGCGATTGGCTTGCTAGCCGTATAAGAGGTTGAAGCAGTTTCCGCCCAAGTTGGAGAACTCCACACACACCTCCTGGAGAACTCTGAGTACACTGTGGAGCCTAGCAAACTCCACGCGTGTTTCAGAGCGAACTTAGCGGCCTGATCAACCACTAAGGACTCCCCGTCACCGACCCAAGGGGGCCTAGCACACCCCAACCCAAGACGTAAGACGACTGCCGGCCCGAACACCCCGAACACATTTGCAGACCGACCAAACGAACTTTGTAATTTCTGCCCGAACCAAGTTTGTTTACAACCGTAATCAAAGCAAGCTTCTGGCCTGCACTGTACGAGCAGTGTAAGTAAACAATCTTTTGTTCAATCAAAACGCTTGGAGTACCTGATTCCACTCCAAGCGTCACAAGTACCCGCCTGCCGACTAGGGCTCCTAAAGCCCCGAACCCCACGCCGCGGCTCTCGGCGGCGACACATATAACAGACATATAACAGAATTGTTATTATTTAAATGACTGTACAGTTATGCTCAAGAGAATGATCCTTCAAAATGTGTATGGGAAGCAGGGACAGGAAATAGAAGCAGAGAGAGCGAGCGAGCGAGCGCGAGCGAGCTCAAAGAACCTGGCTGCCATGGCAGAAGCAACTGAGGGAGTGGGGTGGTGGCCAGAGCCTGCAGGTCACATGCAGCCCAGAGGTGTAAAAATTAAGGTCTCTGCTGCACAATTTAACTCTAACAGGATGTAAGGGATAAATCCTTGCCAACAATGCTCAAATACCATGGCAGCTGGCTTGATACACGAACTGACAAAGAAGGGAATGGTAAAAAATGTTTGTAACAAAAAGCTATGTCCTAATAATATATGGTGTATACATTTTGCTTCCTTGTAACTGCTTCATGAAATCTTTCAGTGAAGCTGTGTCAACCTTGGTGTTTTTAGTCCCTTATAGAATGCTACAGATACCAACTAAAAGGTAGTGTCTTTTTTAAACTTTTCCTGTACAACAGAGCTTTAGTATTCACTCAGTTAGGCGTCTCCACTAGACTTCTAAACTCTCACCATTTCAGCTCTACTTAAGGTAACTCTAATATAAACAAGCCACACTTAACCACTGTAGGCGCATCTACTTGTACAATTAGTGCGATATAATAAACTCCAGCACAGCTTGCCCCAGAGTTTATTGCTCCCAAGTACCGTGCTTACACGTGTGCCTGGGACCACAGTACAATGAGCGAGATTGGAACAGCCCAAGCTAGCAGAGGAACCAGGGGCCAGCCTGCCAGCCCAGGGCTCCTCCAACACGATTCAACATACTGTGGAGGGGCTGGCTGGAGCACAAGGTTGCTCCAGTGCGGGGCTAGCCAGCAGGCAAGCCCTCTCACTGAAGCATCCTCATGCCCCAACCAGGCCCATCAACACTACATAAGTTGCTGTGCACTAGACAATGCCACCAAAGGAGAGTACTTGTGTTTACAAGTACTAACCTACAGCAGCTTTTATTAGTTTACTGCAGCCTAACTGAGCCACACATGCTGAGACTTTACTGTGGAGCTAATTAGTCCACTCCACAGTAAGTGTCTCATGTAGATGCACCCTGTATCATGTAACCCTGCACAGAGAAAATCTTTGACACTGATTAAACCAAGATGGGACAGCTTGTGTTGAATCTATACTAATGACCCAGAAGATGCTTCCACCAGTAGACCTGCTCTGGTGGTAATAACAGCCCAAATCAGAAAAATCTTAGGACAGGCCTAAAGAATCTGTTAGAGGCTGTGTTGAGCTTGTACGCGAGGATGGTAAATAAGTGGAAACCTAGAGAAATTTTTTGCTCTTAAAGCCCTCTTAGAATATGCCTAACACAGCATCTCCAGTATTACCAGCAGTATCCATTCTCAAGCATGCATCTTACCCATAACAACCACAGTCATGTAGTTGTGAAGATGCATGGGGCACCTCTAGAACAGCTTCACCACTATTTTTCTGCATTTGCCCCAGTCAAGCAGAAGTAGCAGCAGATGGGCAGGGCTGGCTGTTCAGAAACAGGCAACCCTCCTACCCGCAAATGGTGACACAGTACAATCTTATATAGTCTCTGCTAGGGGTGCAATGATTTCTTGGTGGATACTGATAGCCAATTATTAACCAAACATATCAGCCGATACCAATCTGATAACTGATTTTTACTGACATAAACACACTTTTTTTGGGTGCACTCCAGCAGCCTCCTGTGCCACATGTATCAGCATCCCAGCATTTAAAAATGGCAGCGGGGATGCTTGAACTAAAGCTCATCAAATGAGCTTTAGTTCAAGCGCTGCTGCCACCATTTTTAAACACGGAGGCGCTTTTAAGCAGAGCAGATGCAAGCGGGGTGAAGGCAAATATGGGCTGCCTGGTGAGGGCTCGGGGCTCTCCATTCTATTGCCTTTGCTCCAGGAATCCCGCACTGGCCGCATGCCCCCTGCTCACCCGGCAGTGGGACGAGGGGGGGCACAACTTGCCACCCTTACTGCTGCCAGGTGCTCAGGAAGCGCACGGCCGGCACAGGGCTCCCGAGGGAAAGGAAGCAGAGCAGAGCCCCGAGCCCACAATGAGCAGCCTACATCCACCCCGCACACAATTTGGGGGTGCACATGCCCCTCCCATGCCTCCCCCAGGGGCCGCATGCAGTGGAGGGGGCTGCCCCCCCCAACAAGCTGCCCATGGTGCAGTCCTGCTCCATGCCCTGGCCCTATGTCCCATGCACTGCCCTAGCTGAGCAGAGCCCCCAGCCCCTGCCTCGCTCTCTCCCTCACTGTGAGGGCCTCGATCTGCCGCCCCATACCCCTTCCCCTCCAGAGACTTACCTGCAAGGAGCTGCTCTCCAAACTGTCAGGCTGTATTCCTGGCCACATGCATGCATGCATGCAGCTGTGCACATGCACACAGCACCCCCTGCATCTCACTCCCTGCACCCCCTGCATCTCACTCCTGGCAGCCCCAGGCAGGACCCCTTGCAGGCTAAGAGAACCCAGGTATTCAGGGGCTCTGGCCTCATGAGGGAGAGGGAACACAAGTGTCCAGGACCCTAGCCAGAAGTAATAATGATAAGTAAACATTATTGGCTATGATGACACACAAAAGCCAACAGCTGATGTCATTTCCCCTTTTATTGGTGCCGATCCAATAGGCAACTGATATATCGGTGCACTTCTAGCCTTTGCTTAGATTTATCATATTTGGAGTAGATCTATATAGCAGAGATATATATTGGCATGATCTTAAGACAGTAGCCTTTTAAAAGATAGTGATATGTATACAACTTCACAATTGTACATAGTGTTTTCCTGTCTCTATTGGTTAGAGATATTTGTGTAAAAAAAACTTTCTTCAGAATCAGCCTCATGTCATGCAACAATCCAAAGTCACTACTGTATAAGCAGCTGCAATATCAGACACTTGGTTGTAGTAGTGAATTAGCTGGAAAACAGATATGAAAATTTATGCACGTGCTTTAGTAATAACTGAAGAATGCTAAAGAAATTAAGGAAAAGCATATAATCAAATTCTAAAGACTAATTAGAACCCATGTAGGACACCAAATAAACAATCTAACACAAACCTAGTAAATCTCCGGTTCCAATTCATTTCTGAGAAGCTATTCATGTCAGTTTGAGTTGCAGATCACAACTCAGGTCTCCAATACCAAGTAACTGCTATAATCTTTTTCCTACCACAACCTGAAATTGAGAACAACTACAAATAAATTGCATTATATTTGAATGTGCTTGAGGAAAAGTACTTCCTAAAAAGCAAAAAGGCACCCGACCAAGTTCTTAAAACAGTGACAATTAATTAAAGCACGTGGGAGATGCAGAAGAAACAGATGACAATACAAGGATTTAACTACTGGAATAAAAACAACAACAAAACACAAAACCTACTACAAACCAACTACTCATCTAACTTTAAAAAAATATCACTAATATTACATGTACAGATGTAAATTAGTAAACAACTGTGCAAATCTGTACAGATAAAGTGCTGTGTGAACACCTGGTTTGCACCAAATAATGTTTAAAGTGTAATTATGTTACAGCTCAGAAATATAACAGAAGGTTCTTTGAGGACATGCCAAGTTTAAATGTCTTTCCCTTTTTCCTTCCTGCATCCTTATCTATTGTTCCTTGAACTGCACATTCTGTGCCAATACAAAGGCTTTTTCAGAAATCCTAGTACATCTCTTTTTCATCGTAAACTAGGGGACAGAATGGGCTTAATTTTCATTAAGTTCTGAATACCTAAAACTTCAACTGATGGTAATGGAAGTAGTAGCAGCTCACTACCTTTGAAAGTCAGACTTCACTTTGTCATTCACTTAATTTCTTACAAAATTTAATAAATATGGAAACTTCGAATCTGACCTAGTCAAATGTAAGAGTCATGTCCAAGTGATAAGCAATTAAACAAAAGCAGAGAGAGTAGCATATTCAGCTATTTAGACTGATAAAACTAAGTCCTATCACCATGTTTACCGCTCTCATATATACAAATCCTAGATATTTGATACGCTGAAATCAAGTTACTAAAATACAGCAACTATCTTCAGATATTAGTGGAATACACTTAAAAATACACCGCAGGTCTCTTCTTCACTTTATATTTTAATGAGCCATAGCGTATCTGAAAAGAAAAAATTGGGTTTAGAAATCAAGTATTACTATTCAAACTGCATAAAAAATTGCCAAGATAAAAAAAAAAATTTAAAAATGAACTGGTCATTTGTTATTAACATTCACAAAGCTCATATCCTTGTAATATCTGTTGAACCCTCAGCTATTGGTATACAGTCACGTAGCACCAGTAACCAGGACAGTTTTGTTTCATTATCTGCTGCCTTAAATCACAGAGCCATTTCTTTTGAATGTATTCTTGTCGTCACCTCAAAACTGGATGATTGCAATGTGCTTTCCCTGGGATTTGATGTTAGTCAAACTAAATGGTAAAGATTGTGGCAGCATCTCTCAAGGGGGGGGGCCTGACACCAACTCCCGACGATCTGTACTCATTACCTGTTGTGTTCTAGGTGTTCAAACACACACACACACACACATATATACATACATACATATACATATATATATATCCCACTCAATATAGAAATGGGAGTGGTCCCAGCAAAATATTCCTTTTGGAATAGCTTTTGGAAGTGCTCTTTTCCCTCTCACCTCCCTTTCTGTCTAAAAACAAAGCCAAAATATGATCATTTTTAGGGCATGCTGAAGGTCCTCTTTTCACTCTGGTTGAGGGCCAAGGAATTGCAATGAAGCATGGTACTTGTATGTTGTGGTATATTTGGTTGGCAATTTGATTGAAGCTGCTGAGTCTTTATCCCCACTTTTGTTACAAAGCCAGGTAGACCAGGTTTAGTGCTCTTTGTTCAACACATCCATAAAAGCCACAAAAAGGAACCTGGTCTTCTGCATTATGACAGGGCAGCAGGATTTATCATCTACATTTAAATGAAGACACTACAATACATGAGCCACTTCCTCCTTCCAAGTAGCTTCCAGACTTTAGGCCTGGAGTCTCCAGCACTCTAACAAACATGCATTTAAAATGAGTGTTCAAATTCGTTTATTCAATGTTTTCTTATAGGTTCCCCATATTTTTCCTCTGTTTGTTGTTTAGTTGAATAAGTAGTTGCTTCCCTCATTTCTCCTAGGGAGCCAGAAGTGGAATTAAATTCAGACCTACGTGGAGAAGCAAAATATTCTGGACTATACCTATGGTTGGTGTTTTATATTTTAATTAAAATTGCTGAATTACTCTAACATTTTTAAAATTATAATAGTGTGCATGCTTGGACTTTTTACCTTTCAAAGTTACTTTATTACCAATAAAACTGAATATTGTTAGTGAGCTAATGCACTTGCCTCTTTGCGGCCTTTAATACTTTTTACAGATTTCATGCTCTGAGATCTTCGAAGGCCCCTCTGAGCAAACATCTCATCTAAAATGAACTGGTCATTTGTTATTAACATTCACAAAGCTCATATCCTTGTAATATCTGTTGAACCCTCAGCTATTGGTATACAGTCACGTAGCACCAGTAACCAGGACAGTTTTGTTTCATTATCTGCTGCCTTAAATCACAGAGCCATTTCTTTTGAATGTATTCTTGTCGTCACCTCAAAACTGGATGATTGCAATGTGCTTTCCCTGGGATTTGATGTTAGTCAAACTAAATGGTAAAGATTGTGGCAGCATCTCTCAAGGGGGGGGACCTGACACCAATTCTCGACGATCTGTACTCATTACCTGTTGTGTTCTAGGTGTTCAAACACACACACACACACACATATATACATACATACATATACATATATATATATCCCACTCAATATAGAAATGGGAGTGGTCCCAGCAAAATATTCCTTTTGGAATAGCTTTTGGAAGTGCTCTTTTCCCTCTCACCTCCCTTTCTGTCTAAAAACAAAGCCAAAATATGATCATTTTTAGGGCATGCTGAAGGTCCTCTTTTCACTCTGGTTGAGGGCCAAGGAATTGCAATGAAGCATGGTACTTGTATGTTGTGGTATATTTGGTTGGCAATTTGATTGAAGCTGCTGAGTCTTTATCCCCACTTTTGTTACAAAGCCAGGTAGACCAGGTTTAGTGCTCTTTGTTCAACACATCCATAAAAGCCACAAAAAGGAACCTGGTCTTCTGCATTATGACAGGGCAGCAGGATTTATCATCTACATTTAAATGAAGACACTACAATACATGAGCCACTTCCTCCTTCCAAGTAGCTTCCAGACTTTAGGCCTGGAGTCTCCAGCACTCTAACAAACATGCATTTAAAATGAGTGTTCAAATTCGTTTATTCAATGTTTTCTTATAGGTTCCCCATATTTTTCCTCTGTTTGTTGTTTAGTTGAATAAGTAGTTGCTTCCCTCATTTCTCCTAGGGAGCCAGAAGTGGAATTAAATTCAGACCTACGTGGAGAAGCAAAATATTCTGGACTATACCTATGGTTGGTGTTTTATATTTTAATTAAAATTGCTGAATTACTCTAACATTTTTAAAATTATAATAGTGTGCATGCTTGGACTTTTTACCTTTCAAAGTTACTTTATTACCAATAAAACTGAATATTGTTAGTGAGCTAATGCACTTGCCTCTTTGCGGCCTTTAATACTTTTTACAGATTTCATGCTCTGAGATCTTCGAAGGCCCCTCTGAGCAAACATCTCATCTTCTGAATGTGTCCCCTCCATTTCCTCATCAGTTTTATCATCTCCAGAATTTCTCTCTAATTGAATCCTGTAACCTAAGAATAAACCATAGGGTAGAGATTTGGCTACAGAGAGAATGGTAGCACAACATTTAATTTGTATAGGCAAAATAAAACTGATGAAGATTCAAGTTAGTTGAGGTCCACTAATTTTGCTGAAACGAGATGAAAATTCTCTCTTTGACATATGCTCTTTATCTCGCTAAAATAGTTGTGCATCAGCTGTCTCAAACCAGAAAAGAAACTTATTTGCAAACAGCAATGCGCTCTAAAATTAAGTACATCAGCATTTTACTGCCCTGATCACATAGTTCTTAGGTCTGTCTTTGGCCATGACACATTTGTCCTTTTAGAGTTGTCCAACTGCCGCTAATAATTTAGTCACTCCTCTAACTTACTGTTTTCTTGGAAGAGTTCTTTGTGCTACTGCAGTTGGGGATTAGTGGCAAATACTGCGTACATACAGCAAATTCAGAGCTGTATTTAAAATAATGTTTGAAGCTACTAATCAGGTTTTTCTCCCTGGTCTCTTTCATTTTTCTTAAATGAGCTCTTCAAATTTCACATACATAATTCTTTAAGTGTCATGTCTCAAGAACAAAGACATACCCAATAACATACTACAGCTAAATGGCAAGGTTCCAGAAGTTATTTCAAGCCAGCCAGACAGGCATGCTTAAAATAATGGAAATTCCAATCCTAATAAATCCAACAGAAAGGAACATAAGCTATAGCAGGTAAAATGGATAGACAGAAGTGCTGAAAGGGAATATAAAGTACAAATAGTAAAATAAGGCAAAATATATAAAGATACCCTACCTGTAGTGTTCTGAAGAGTTTAGGAGGGTTTATTTTTAAATTATTCTTAATCCAAAATTCATTTTAACAATGCTTTTCTCAAGACTCACAACAGCTACCTCATCCAGAAGTTAAGCTCATGTTGAGTACAAACTTTGACTATACCTGTTCTTAAATTTAACTGAGTATATTACCAAAGATTTTCACTAGAGGGTGCAAAATGCTTTGTATAGTAACGAAGTTTAGCTACAAACCCATCCCGTCTTATTTGGATCCAGGAGTGGACAATATGTACGAAATGCAAAGTCAAGATAATTTACTACGTTAAAAAAATAGCATAAATGCAATAATATTACAGCCAATTTATGACAAATTACTGCATTTTGTATTAAAATAGTTCTTCTGCAGACTGGAATGTTGAGCATTTTTAAGCAATTCAATTCAAGAACATACAAAGCATAGAAGTGGCCTGTACACGGCAGCTGTACCTGTATCACTTGTAAAGCACGCTGGCACAATGTATTTATAGGCCTTCCTCTCAAGAAGGGCCTCTGGGTAAGTGCACTTCCCATTTCAATCATCATCACCTACTCTAGCAATTATTTATTCTCCAGAACAGTTCTGTATAACCATTATTTCATTAACAGGCACTGTTTTGGGAAAACACACCTTATCCCAGGCATTTTGTAGCTTAAAAGAAAAAAAAAACAACCTAGATAAAATAAAACTGAAATATTCCTTTGCGAGGGACAGTAACTTATTTATATTTTAGTCAGGCTTCAGCCACAAAGTACAAGAAAGAACTTTTGCAACTGAACTCTTCTAATCTTTTCTTTAAAGTAGCACGGAGACTCATAAGCATAATGCGTTCATAATGGAAGACAAGATACCTCCTAGAATCTTAAGTGTTTGCTGCTATTTGCTACAGTCAAGGGTAAATCCAGGTAAGGGATGCAGTCATATCCACCTTTGATTCCACTCTACGTTTAAAAACTGCCTGGCAGTGACAACAGCACTTCTATTCAGGCAGCAGTGAGGGAGTCAATTGACTTCAGGGCTCATTATAATCTACCTAATTCCTTCTAAACTTTTCATTCCATGGGTATTAACAACCCTCTCTCCTTTTTAATGGTCTCTAATGGTTCCACTGATCAAGTTATCCTTTCTTCTGCAATTCTGCTGCCTGTTAGATGCTCCTGGTAAGGTGGCTCCCATTTCATAGCTCAGCAGACTGTTTTTAACCCTGCCTACAAATATTAACTCAAGTGAACATTAACTTAGGAGTGAAAATAACTTTCAGTAATGCATTGGATGCACTGTCAAGATGCTCAGGAAAGCTTAATTTTGTTTTATGAATTTGAAAAAGATGTGCACTTGATTCTAACAACAGAACTAAAAATATATATATATTTTGATTATTTTTGCCTACTTTGTGTTTTGATATGTTATATATGATATAGCAAATTAATACCCATTCCAGTAAAGTTTTTTTTGCTTCTAGGGTTTTTTTGCTTCTAGTTTCTTTTTAACCAGAAAAAAGTTACTTGTGTTACGTGATAATCAGAGATCCTGGTTTTCCGATTTTAAAAAATTAAATAAATAAATAAATAATAAATAGCAAATTCTCTGATAAAAGCCCCCAAATCCATTATTAAAATTAAAGGCCCCCTACAGCCTCCCCCCCACCCAGCCCTACTGGTGCCCCTCACTCCCATCCCACAGCCGTGCTCCCACCCCACAGCCGTGCTGGTGCCCCACACTCCCCCCACAACAGCCCCCCCAGCCTCCCACATGCAGGCACAGGCACATACAAACCAGCAGGTAAGTGTGTGTGCGGAAAAGAGAAGGCGTGGGGGAAAAGGGAAGGGGTTGGTAGGAGCTAGATCAAGAGTGGGGTGGAGGGGGAGTGAGTCTCTGTGCCCGCTCCCAGGAACAGGGCTGGGGGGTGAGGGCAGTGGTACCCCTTCTGCGGGCTGCACATGCACCGCCCAGCTGGCCTGATGGAGGAGTGGGGGAGCGCTCACACACAGTGGCTGTCACTGCCACCACCCCACGCTGCCCCTGCCATACCACTTGCCTGTAGAGCCGCATGGGGTACAGGGCATGGCA